TCAGCCTGAGAGGGTCCTCTGTAGCTCAGCTGGTAGAGCACGGCGCTTGTAACGCCAAGGTAGTGGGTTCGATCCCCGGGACCACCCATACACAAAAATGTATGCACGCATGACTGTAAGTCGCTTTGGATAAAAGCGTCTGCTAAATGGCATATTATTATTATTTATTATTATTATTATGAAACGGCCGCTCCTTGGCAATGTTCCTCAGGTGGTAAAAAGCTGTTTTGGTCACATTCCTAACGTGTGATTCGAAATATAGTTCAGAATCTAAAATATCACCTGGGTTTTTTACTTGGTGTTTTATCTTTATTGCCCGTGAATTAAAATGTGCGTCCAGATTCTCTCTCTGTTGCTTTGGCTCCAACAATAAGTACCTCGGTCTTGTCTTCATTTAGCTGGAGGAAGTTGTGAGCCATCCAAGTATTTTAAATCCCTGTCTAATATTTTATCCATGGAGCAAAAAAATCCTCTGGTGACACAGAAATGTAAAGTTGTGTATTGTCCGTGTAGCAGTGAAAATCAATGCTGTGCTTTCTGATAATGCTGCCAAGGGGTAACGTACAGGGCTTTCTGATAATGCTGCCAAGGGGTAACGTACAGTGCATTTGGAAATTATTCAGACTGTTTACTTTTTCCAAATTTTTGTTACTTTACAGCCTTATTCTAAAATTGATTCAATAAAAGTTTTTCCTCATCAATCTACACACAATACTCCATAATGACGGATTGAAAACAGGTTTTTAGAAATGTTTGCAAATGGATTAAAAATAACAAACAGATACGTTATTTACATAGGTATTCAGACCCTTTCCTGTGGGACTTGAAATTGAGCTCAGGTACATCCTGTTTCCATTGATCATCCTTGGATGTTTCTACAACTTGATTGGAGTCCACCTGTGGTAAATCCAATTGATTGGACATGATTTGGAAAGGCACACACCTGTCTATATAAGGTCCCACAGTTGACAGTGCATGTCAGAGCAGAAACCAAGCCATGAGGTCGAAGGAATTGTCCGTAGAGCTCCGAGACAGGATTGTGTCGAGGCACAGATCTGGTGAAGGGTACCAAAACATTTCTGCAGCATTGAAGGTCCCTTGGTCAGGGAGATGGGCCTTGGTCAGGGAGGTGACCAAGAACCCAATGGTCTCTCTGAAAGAGCTCCTGAGTACGTCTGTGGAGATGGGAGAACCTTCCAGAAGGACAACCATCTCTGCAGCACTCCACCAATCAGGCCATTATGGAAGAGTGGCCAGACAGAAGCCACTCCTCAGTAAAAGGCACGACAGCCCGCTTGGAGTTTGCCAAAAGGCAAAAGGACTCTCAGACCATGAGAAACAAGATTCTCTGGTCTGATGAAACCAAGATTGAACTCTTTGGCCTGAATGCCAAGCGTCACGTCTGTAGATAGATGAGGGGGAAAAAACAATTTAATTAATTTTAGAATAAGGCTGTAACGTAACAAAAAGTCAAGGGGTCTGAATACTTTCCGAATGCACTGAACAGTACAGGACCCAACATCTGAGTTATGTTCACCAAGGGTGACAAACTCTCGACCGGTTAAATAGGTCCTAAATCAATTTAGAACTGGACCGGAGAGGCCAACCCACCTCTCCAGTCTGTCCAGAAGGACATCATGGTCAACAGAGGACAACCACCTCTCCAGTCTGTCCAGAAGGACATCATGGTCAACAGAGGCCAACCACCTCTCCAGTCTGTCCAGAAGGACATCATGGTCAACAGAGGCCAACCACCTCTCCAGTCTGTCCAGAAGGACATCATGGTCAACAGAGGCCAACCCACCTCTCCAGTCTGTCAAGAAGGACATCATGGTCAACAGAGGCCAACCACCTCTCCAGTCTGTCCAGAAGGACATCATGGTCAACAGAGGCCAACCCACCTCTCCAGTCTGTCCAGAAGGACATCATGGTCAACAGAGGCCAACCCACCTCTCCAGTCTGTCCAGAAGGACATCATGGTCAACAGAGGCCAACCCACCTCTCCAGTCTGTCCAGAAGGACATCATGGTCAACAGAGGCCAACCCACCTCTCCAGTCTGTCCAGAAGGACATCATGGTCAACAGAGGCCAACCACCTCTCCAGTCTGTCCAGAAGGACATCATGGTCAACAGAGGTCAACCACCTCTCCAGTCTGTCCAGAAGGACATCATGGTCAACAGAGGCCAACCACCTCTCCAGTCTGTCCAGAAGGACATCATGGTCAACAATGTCGAATGCAGCACTTAAATCTAAGAGTTAATAATAATAATAATAATATGCCATTTAGCAAACGCTTTTATCCAAAGCGACTTACAGTCATGTGCGCATACATTTTTACGTATGGGTGGTCCCGGGGATCGAACCCACTACCCTGGCGTTACAAGCGCCATGCTCTACCAATTGAGCTACAGAGGACAGAGAGCTGTTTGGCATCTGTGATAATTTACCACTTTAACTAAGGCTGTCTCTGTGCTGTGTGTGGGAATAAAAAATAAAAATAAACTTAACAAATCATTTAGCTGTTTAAAAACCAATTTCTCCAGAATTTTGCTTAAAAAAGGAAGGTTGGAGATTGGCTGAAAAATTGCTAAGAGCTGAATAATCTAGATGACTTTTCTTCAGAAGGGGTTTCACCATAACAGTTCTTAGTGCAGTGGGGAAAGTGCCTGTGAACAGGGAGTGATTAACAATAGCTTGCACTTCTTCAGATATGCAATTAAAAACTGTTTTGAAGAAGGTGGTGGGGATAGGATCTAGAAGGCATGTAGAAGGCTTGAGTTGTGATATCCCTTTCCTGAGCATGTCTGTGTCAACCAGGGAAAATAAATAATCCATAGTGCCTTTGCATGGTAGGCTAGGGCACATATCAAACTTCCTAATGTTTTGTACACTCAGTGTATATATAATATCAGCAGTACTACACCACTAAATCTCTGTGGCATACTCACCATCTGGTTATGTGTCTTTTATGACTTGTAGTGTGTTTTTGTTATTTTAGACATTCTAAACATGCATAAAGTAATGAATGAATTCTTATTTTTTTAAATATCTATTTTTTGTATTTATGTTTCAAGCGGTCTTTATCCTTTGACAGCTAATATTGATGTCTCCTTCTAGTGGTGGAGGCTAAAGCTATGATGAAAGAGCGACAGAAAAAGGACAACCATAACCAGAGTGAGTATAGATTTGAATACTTTACTGCCAACGGATACCATATTTGAAATGTATTTTATTACGTCTAACATTTTGTCAGCCCACCTTGGTGATAATGTTGACATGTTACGGTTCTGCCTAGTTGAGAGACGGAGGAGGTTCAACATCAACGATCGCATCAAGGAACTGGGAGCTCTCATCCCCAAATCTAGTGACCCGTGAGTACCTATGGACAAAAATGAACCCTGACCCTAACCCAAATCTAGTGACCCGTGAGTACCTATGGACAAAAATGAACCCTGATCCTAACCCAAATCTAGTGACCCGTGAGTACCTATGGACAAAAATGAACCCTGTCCCTAACCCAAATCTAGTGACCCGTGAGTACCTATGGACAAAAATGAACCCTGACCCTAACCCAAATCTAGTGACCCGTGAGTACCTATGGACAAAAATGAACCCTGACCCTAACCCAAATCTAGTGACCCGTGAGTACCTATGGACAAAAATGAACCCTGACCCTAACCCAAATCTAGTGACCCGTGAGTACCTATGGACAAAAATGAACCCTGACCCTAACCCAAATCTAGTGACCCGTGAGTACCTATGGACAAAAATGAACCCTGACCCTAACCCAAATCTAGTGACCCGTGAGTACCTATGGACAAAAATGAACCCTAACCCAAATCTAGTGACCCGTGAGTACCTATGGACAAAAATTATTTGGAGACTCTTAGAGCAGATGACACATTTACCGTTCTCAAGTGCGTGATTATTCATAGATGACCTATGGATGCTTAAACTGTTAACTGAAACGTCACTGTTCCGTTCTCTTCAATGTCCCACCCCACACACTACTCGTATTTAATCACCTCGCTTTTCCTTTCTCGTCACTGACCCCCCTGCTACGGAGACAGGGAGACGCGTTGGAACAAGGGAACCATCCTGAAGGCGTCTGTGGACTACATCAGGAGGCTGCAGAAGGAGCAGCAGAGAGCCAAGGAGATGGAGAACAGGCAGAGGAAACTGGAGCACAGCAACCGCAGCCTACTGCTTCATATACAGGTTAGGACAATAAAGTCAATCAGTCTGGAAGGCTGGTAGTCAATCAGTCTGCTGCAAGGAAGGCTGGTAGTCAATCAGTCTGCTGCAAGGAAGGCTGGTAGTTACTTGCGTGTGATATTGGAATGATGTTTGTTTGGAAGTGGGTAGAGGTAAATTGTCTCAGGCGAAATCAATAAACTGTGGCGTCCCCCAGGGCAGTGCCGTAGGGCCTCTACTATTTTTACTGTGCATTAATTAAGCAAGGGCTGTTCTTAGGCATGACGCAAATTGTTTTAAAAATAAACTAAACTGAAGTGTCGACCGTTGTTGTTGTTGTTTCACTCTACAGGAGCTAGAAATGCAGGCCCGCCTCCACGGCCTCTCCACCCCCACCTCCTCCTCCCAGGACTCCTCCTCCTCACACCTCAGCCTATCACAGTCCCTGGACCCCAGCACGGGCGACGCCCTCTCCAAGACCCTCCTCTCGCTGAGTGGTGGCCCAGCCCTTCAGGCCACCTCCTTCCTGTCTCCACCCCCCTCGGCCTCACCAGTTGGCCTGATGAACATGGCTTCTCCTCTGGATCTGGACTCTCTGAGCTTCTCTGAGCTGGACGACCCGTCGGCCGCAGCCTTCCACTCCTCCCTGCTGCCGGACATGGGTCTGGGGGACATCCTGATGGACGATAGGGGGGTGGGGATGTCCCCGGTGTGGGCCCGAGAGCCCCTGCTCTCCTCTGTTTCCCCAGGAGCCTCAAAGACCTCCAGCCGCAGGAGCAGCTTCGGCATGGAGGAAGACCTGTGACTGAGTTAAAGGACCCTAGCCCCTACACTGCTAGGCAGGAGCAGCTTCGGCATGGAGGAGGACCTGTGACTGAGTTAAAGGACCCTAGCCCCTACACTGCTAGGCAGGAGCAGCTTCGGCATGGAGGAGGACCTGTGACTGAGTTAAAGGACCCTAGCCCCTACACTGCTAGGCAGGAGCAGCTTCGGCATGGAGGAGGACCTGTGACTGAGTTAAAGGACCCTAGCCCCTACACTGCTAGGCAAGAGCAGCTTCAGCATGGAGGAAGACCTGTGACTGGGCTGAGTCCAAAACCAACCCCTAGACCAGCGTTTCCCAAACTGGGTCCTCGGGACCCCAAGGGGGTGCACGTTTTGGTTTTTGCCCTAATTCCACACAGCTGATTCACATTATCAAAGCTTGACGATTAGTTGATTATTTGAATCCGCTGTGTAATGCTAGGGCAAAAACCATAAACGTGCACCCTTTAGGGTCCCGAGGACCCAGTTTGGGAGACCATGCCCTAGACCCTAACTCCTAGACTCTACACCCCTAGTGATTGTTTAAGACGCAAGGTTATTTGTAGATCAGTCAGTCTGCAATGTAGTTCATCTGGAACATGACTAAAGGCCCAAAGCCCCTCAGAGGACTGTAGACTGGGGTGGAGCCTCCACATACCCTGCATGGCCCCGTCCACCAATCACAGAGTGGGGTCAAAGGTCTTAGTTTAATCTAGGGTTGCAATATTCCAGTCCCCAGGTTTTCCAGAAACCCTGGCATTAGGGTTCCCCTTGTTCTCTTCTGACTCCAGGAATCCTCCAACCGGGATTTCTGGAAAACCTCAGAATCATGCAACCGTTGTTTTAGTTTAATCTAGATTAGAACATCTATGAAGACTTCCTGACCGTGATGATTCAATTCACATCTATGAAGACTTCCTGACCGTGATGATTCAATTCACATCTATGAAGACTTCCTGATGATTCAATTCAATGCAGCACTCCATACTTTTTATCTCCATGCTTGTAAAAAAAAGAAACAAATATGTAGAAATGGAATATAATCCATCTATGGGGAAGTCGAGCCATTCTATATCATTAAAGGATCAAAATGAATTGTAGACCACATGAGAGGAGATGATAGATGTTACATAGATGTGAACCTATTATGACTAGCACTCTATACCAGGGATGGGGAACTCCAGTTGTGAATGACTAGCACTCTATACCAGGGATGGGGAACTCTGTGAATGACTAGCACTCTATACCAGGGATGGGTAACTCCCAGTTCTGTGAATGACTAGCACTCTATACCAGGGATGGGGAACTCCCAGTTCTGTGAATGACTAGCACTCTATACCAGGGATGGGGTAACTCCCAGTTCTGTGAATGACTAGCACTCTATACCAGGGATGGGAACTCCCAGTTCTGTGAATGACTAGCACTCTATACCAGGGATGGGGAACTCCCAGTTCTGTGAATGACTAGCACTCTATACCAGGGATGGGTAACTCCCAGTTCTGTGAATGACTAGCACTCTATACCAGGGATGGGTAACTCCCAGTTCTGTGAATGACTAGCACTCTATACCAGGGATGGGTAACTCCCAGTTCTGTGAATGACTAGCACTCTATACCAGGGATGGGTAACTCCCAGTTCTGTGAATGACTAGCACTCTATACCAGGGATGGGTAACTCCCAGTTCTGTGAATGACTAGCACTCTATACCAGAGATGGGTAACTCCCAGTTCTGTGAATGACTAGCACTCTATACCAGGGATGGGTAACTCCAGTTCTGTGAATGACTAGCACTCTATACCAGGGATGGGTAACTTCCCAGTTCTGTGAATGACTAGCACTCTATACCAGGGATGGGTAACTCCCAGTTCTGTGAATGACTAGCACTCTATACCAGGGATGGGTAACTCCCAGTTCTGTGAATGACTAGCACTCTATACCAGGGATGGGTAACTCCCAGTTCTGTGAATGACTAGCACTCTATACCAGGGATGGGTAACTCCAGTCCTCGGGGGCCTGATTTGGGATCTCACTTTTTTCCCCATCCCTCGCAAACACAGCTGATTTTAAACTAATTACATTCCAAACTGAAGACCATGATTAGTTGATTATTGGAGTCAGGTGTGTTATCTGGGGCTGGGGCAAAAGTGTCTCCAATCAGGCCCCCGAGGACAGGAGTTGACCCTCCCTGGTCTATATGATAGAAACAGGAGTTGACCCTCCCTGGTCTATATATGATAGAAACAGGAGTTGACCATCCCTGGTCTCTATGATAGAAACAGGAGTTGACCCTCCCTGGTCTATATGATAGAAACAGGAGTTGACCATCCCTGGTCTATATATGATAGAAACAGGAGTTGACCATCCCTGGTCTATATATGATAGAAACAGGAGTTGACCATCCCTGGTCTATATGATAGAAACAGGAGTTGACCATCCCTGGTCTATATGATAGATACAGGAGTTGACCATCCCTGGTCTATATGATAGAAACAGGAGTTGACCCTCCCTGGTCTATATGATAGATACAGGAGTTGACCCTCCCTGATCTATATGATAGATAAAGAAACAGGAGTTGACCCTCCCTGGTCTATATGATAGATAAAGAAACAGGAGTTGACCCTCCCTGGTCTATATGATAGAAACAGGAGTTGACCATCCCTGGTCTATATGATAGAAACAGGAGTTGACCATCCCTGGTCTATATGATAGAAACAGGAGTTGACCATCCCTGGTATATATGATAGATACAGGAGTTGACCATCCCTGGTCTATATGATAGATAAAGAAACAGGAGTTGACCCTCCCTGGTCTATATGATAGAAACAGGAGTTGACCATCCCTGGTCTATATGATAGAAACAGGAGTTGACCCTCCCTGGTCTATATGATAGAAACAGGAGTTGACCCTCCCTGGTCTATATGATAGAAACAGGAGTTGACCATCCCTGGTCTATATGATAGATAAAGAAACAGGAGTTGACCATCCCTGGTCTATATGATAGATAAAGAAACAGGAGTTGACCCTCCCTGGTCTATATGATAGATACAGGAGTTCACCATCCCTGGTCTATATGATAGATAAACAGGAGTTGACCATCCCTGGTCTATAATGATAGATAAAGAAACAGGAGTTGGGGCATATTGTTTCATTGAAACAGATGTGTTCAGAAAGCCACAAATATTGCATTTAGAATTCAAAACCATTATTTGTATGTATGCATGAGGAGACCTCAGCATTTTTTAAAGGATTGTAACTCTGCAAAACAAAAACAAAAAGGGATAGCCCTATTCTGTCACGAAACCGCTAGATGAACTGGCCGTGCATCCCAAATAGCACCATATTCCCTACATGATGCACTACTGCAAATATCATAATGCAGCACTTTCAGTGGTAGACCTGTTGTATAGATGAGTGTTGTGCGTTGGTATGCTGTTGAAGTCCCTCAGGGAAACCAGGCTGAGCAGCCAGCCAGCCAACCAGCCAGCCAGCCAGCCAGCCAGCCAGCCAGCCAGCCAGCCAGCCAGCCAGCCAGCCAGCCAGCCAGCCAGCCAGCCAGCCAGCCAGCCAGCCAGTAGACTAAACCGTTACTGTGTTTTGTAGACACACTGTTCTATTGTCTTCAACAGCGAGACCGTTAAGAGTAACTTAACCCTGAACTTTATCACTTCCTGTTCCTGGCCTGGCTGGGGTCAATTCAGTTCAGGAATTGAAAAAACAAACCCAGAATAGAACATAATGAGATTGTTTTTTTTATTAAAGAATTCAAAAAAAAATTATTCTCTTCTTAGATTTTACAGATTGAAAATGGATTGACCCCTGACCCTACTGTCAGTCACTAAACTGCAGTAGTTTAGCTGTTAGAAGAACCTATAAGGTGTTATAAGTGTTTTATAAGGGGAGTTTTCCTTCTACAGTAGCTATATATACGGGACGTGCCCACCAGGTCTGCCATGTTGTGATTCTAAGGCCGACATTCTATAGCCTGGTTCCAGGGTCTGTTTGTGCCGTGTACAGTAGCAAAACGGCACAAACCAATCTGGGACCAGGCTAGCTGTTTTTACCTTTTGATGTGAGTGGAGTTGTGTAAGGTATTTATTAGGATCCCCATTAGCTGTTTTGCGAAAAGCAGCATCTAGTTTTCCTGGGGTCCACGACTGGTATTTCAGGGACGAGATGATGGGATCCATTGAGCTGCTAAGATGATGCTGCACATCTCACAACAACACAGGGCTTCTTTCAGCTGCTGCCATTCATATTATGACGGATACTTAACATTGGTTTCACCATGGGGTTCAGGTTGGAATCCAGGCTAATGCTTGTATAAAATATATATATATATATATATAATAATATATGCCATTTAGCAGACGCTTTTTCTCCAAAGCAACTTTGTCACGTGAACATACATTTTTACGTATGGGTGGTCCCAGACATTGAACCCACTACCCACTGAGCTACACAGGACCACATGTATGAACACTGGCTGTATGGCCACGCTGATGACGTCTATGTAACATGATGTAGAGGAAACAAGTTGTTTTACAAGTTGTTGATTGAAAATTTTTATTCACCTGTAATCTGTCTCCACTTGTAGCTGTACCTACCGATTATTTGATCTAATCCTTTCGAATTTTCAGTACGCTTGTTCTCCTTCGTGTAGTGCAACTATGTACAAGAGACTACATGAATGTTGGAAACGGTAGTGTTATTAACTGGGATACGTACTGCAGGAGAATATTGACTGTCCTGCTTCTACTGCGCTGTGTTTTGGTTCTAACGATCGACTTTGTCGCTTTAATTTACTTTGTGTCATTTTTATTTTCAAAGTAAAGCAATATACACGGAGTAGACCAAACTTTAAGAACACCTTCCTACTGTTGAGTGTGTGAAAACACCAGCAGCGTTGCAGTTCTTAGACACAAACCTGTGCGCCTGGCACCTACTATCATACCCCGGTTCAAAGGCAGTTTAAATATTTTGTCTTGCCCCATTCACCCTCTG